CCCCAAAACCCCAAAACCCCAAAACCCCAAAACCCCAAAGAAGAAGATTTTATTGTTGCATAAAAACTAAATATGGAGAATATTTCTCAATATTACAACCCTTGCAAATGATTCGTTCAAGTTAAATTACTCTATTCCTTAAAACCACTTGTTTTATAGAAATCTAGGCACCCTAAAGTCTCATTGTAATTTGCTTTCACTAGTAAATAAAAGGGAGATATCTTTGCTAATTCTCAAAAAGTTTCCCAAAATTTGAACTAAGCCCATGCACAATTTGTGAGCTTTGGCGCAAACTTGACCAGCAGCCGCCTCTAAATTTCTTAAGACTCCAAAGAGCTATGTTTAATTGTTTAGATCATATAATTTGGATAATACACGAAGGCTAGGCCATCGTTATTTATAATAGGTTGTTCTAATTCTGCTCCTGAGGAAATGAGTCATTCTCTATTTTACTCAAGTCAACACTAAACTTCTTGGACTTATCAATAGCTGGGTGGACTTGACCTCCTCCTAAATAAGTCTTAATATGTTTCATAATACTGGGATCGTAGAGATATTTGGTTATCGAATTCCTTTCATCTGAGATTGATGATAAAGAGACTTCTCCGTCACTACTATCGTCATCTTCCTTTCTAGCCTCCTTAAAATTCTCTGATCATTTAGTTTTCTCGGTCTTTTCAACCACTGATTTCTTCCTGAAGCCCTTAGTCTCAAGGAAGAATTGGATCTGTGTTCGGATTGATTTCTCCTCTTTGGACTCAATTTCATGATCAAAGCCTAAAATAAAATATAAGTTGGCATAATAATGAATATTTATACTCTAAACTCTCTTCTAAAGATTTTCAGTTAATTCGCGAATAAAATTTTGCAAAATTCTACTTGAATATTGATCCCTCACCTGCTAAGTAGAGGTCGTCTTTGGCATCAGGGTACTTTTCTTGATCCCGATGAATCATATTGGACTTTTGTTCATGAGCATAAATACTCTTCTTAAATTCTTTGTTATTCTTATCTTTAGGATTGGAACTTGCACTTTTAAAAGCTTTGCCTTTGTTCAGCTTTAAAAAAACTCTGCTAATAGGAATGCTGGTGAAACTTTTAGGTGCATGCCATTTATTCAAATCAGGAATCCATGGTGGAATCGCCTTCTTGTCTTCAATCCTGTCCCAGTCAATCTCGTCGAAGTATCTGTGCGTTTTTATGTCATTGATGTACTCAGGTCTGTCAGCTGGATGCTTGGAGAGTAACCAAGTGATTAATTCAACAGTCTCAGAATCCATTTCATTCGGGAATCTAGGTGTCGCATTCACAATCCGTCTTTCTAAGTCTCTCTTGTTAGATGAGTGAAAAGGTGGAAATCCAACACTCATTTCGTATAAGAGACACCCAAGAGTGTAGAAATCTACAGAAACTGAATGCATGTACCCTCAGATCATCTCTGGAGGTAAGTATTCAGGCGATCCTCAAAAGGTAGTATTTAATTCATCTAAATCTTGCAACTGTTTAGAGAGCCCAAAATCTGCGAGCTTAATGTGCCCATCAATGTCAATGAGAATATTCTCTGGTTTTAAGTCTCGATATATAATATTTTTCTCATGCATCTTTTCTAAAGCAATTACTACTTCTGCCATATAAAACTTGATAGCTTGAGAGTTCAGGGTTCCTTTTGGAAAATGAGTTAAAAGATGAAAGAGTGTTCCTCCAATTCAAGGCTCCATGACAAAATAAATCTCTGTCTCAGTCTGGAAAGTGTAGTTCAACCCCACTATAAATTGAGAACCACTAAGCCTCTTTAATATTTCCGCTTCAGATGTATAAACACTCTTCCTTGTGGACACATAAAGATGATCTTTATTTGATTATTTTAATTGCGTAAAGTCTTCCACTATCTTTCTTCCTTGCAAGCACTACATTTGCATATCCACCTCATCCAATGACTTTAAGGAAGTGGAAGTCCTCTTTTCCAATGGGGTTTCGATACCCATTATTTTCAAAGTCATCTCCTTCCCTCAACTTGGAGTAGTGCACTGCTAGAGTCGTCCCATTCTTGAGCGGCCTCAGTCAGTTATCCAGGAAGTTTAAGTAGTAATCAAGGGCAGGCAGTCCTTCTATTGTTTTCAAACCAATTAATAGCTTCTTTTTGTATAAATTATTTTCCCCTATCTCAGCCTCAAAATGCTGATCATACCTCCTAGTAACCTCACTAAGCAGCCACCCGACTGTCAAATCAGCATCTGGTCAATGAATATCCTCCACAATATTCTTAGCGATCTTCACTCTAATAGTCCTTGCCTTATTACTCTTAAACTGCTGGCCCAAGCCTGCAATATTAGAAGGAATCAGAGAATGAACATACTTAATGCTATAGTCACTTGGAATGACGTCTAAGGAAGCCATTACGCCCATTTATTCCTCAAATTAAATTTAATATCTTTAGTTCAACATTTGAGCCCGTATTTGGGGTTTTGGGGTTTTGGGGTTTTGGGGTTTTGGGGTTTTGGGG